CACCTCTCATATTAATGGAGGAAGCCATTCGTTTGTGAATGAATCTCCATGAACAACTTGTTTACTTAGCTGACAACAATACAAGTTTCTAGCACCGCAGTATCTTGTTGTCATCTTTCATTTACATTGTTTGCTGATTGTATTCAACAAAACTAGCATAAGCCTAGAATTTAGTGCAAGTTGGTGCTACTTTGCCTTATGTTCAGTGCAGTAAGTGACTGTATTATCATCAATAACGTTACTTGTTTAGCACAAAAGTTCATAGCATTCGAAAACGTAAAAAATGAAATCTTACCTATGAAACATTTTGTGCTTAGTTTTCTTCATTACTACACTCGTACACAGTGCTAAAGTCTAGCATCTTCACATTGGGTTTAGTCTTGAGTGCGGCTGAATGACATTTGTCCTGGAAGCACCAAATGTGGCGGCGCTACTGACACATGCTCAGGATCCGTATGCGATATCTCGTGTATATATGCTTTAAGGCTATGACTCAGAAGGGGCATCATTTGACAGACAAGAAGCTGACTTTGATCAAGGATCTATTCCATCATTGAATTGTATGATTTTCTGCTTGTTTTTGTATGATTTTTTTGAGGGCGACAGGCTTAAATTAGCCCCTGTCACATTTTTTATATGTGAAAATGTACATTTCTGATAGAATGTCCCATAATCAATGTGAATGTAGTCATGTGTGTTTCTATTTAATACCAAAAACAGAAATAAGGGCAGTAATTAATAGCTTAAAATGTGGGAGAGTGTTGCTTTTGTGATTGTATTGCACTGCAATATGGAGCAATTAAGTGATGTTAAATCAAAAATAATTTACAAATACTTAAAAATTAAATGATACAGATAACTGTATATATTTTGAAATATAAAATGATATAAGCAAATGATAGTATTTGTACCCAGCTTAAATGTAAAATAAAAGTAACCTGAGAGAGAGAGAGAGAGAGACCAGAGATTAGGCCTCAAAGAGCGCCAGATAGCAATAGAGAAGATAGACTCCACAGCAGGAGAGGAGCAGAGCAAGAAAAGAGACCAGAGCATAGTTTACCACCTATTTTGTAAATTGACTATGTGACCAAAGCCCAAATACTAAGACATACAAACTGACCAATCAACATGTGAACACATCATAAAAACCCCAAAGTCCAGACACATATTAACCATTCCCTGATTTTATCAATATCTGCCTTTGCCATCTGTATGAACCTTTTGGTGAAAAAGTCCTACAATCAAGTTAAAGGAATACTACACTATATTGAACTTAGGCTCATTTTTCAAGTCACTTAAAGACACTTAAGTCAGTTAAAAAGTTGAGTTTTACCATTCTTCAATTCATACAAATGATCTCTGGGTCTGAAGGTAATTCAGAATGAATGTTAGAATGTTAGAATGAATGTTGTGTTATGTTCGGAATGAAAACATTCACTGAATTAAACTGCTGTAAAAATGCATCACACACACATCACACACACATACACACACACACACACACACACACACACACACACACACACACACTGTTGAGAGCCATTTACAATCAAAACAAAAATTATTCGGACACCAGAAATAATGTTTGTGTTTTACTTTCACTAATGAGCACAGGGCACTGTGTAACTGAGGATAAATAAAGTAAACTGTGACATATAACAAAAAATATCCTTACAGTACAACTAACAACAGAAACTGAAAACACTACTACAGCAAATCTTGAAAAATATAGGGTAATATTTTCAAATAACATTTGTCTGAATTATATTTGGTAGATTTTAATTCATTACATGCTGTGACTCGCTATTTAATTTATCTGACATTATCAAGATTAGACGGCACAGTGGCTCAGTGTTACTGTCACCTCACAAATAAAAAGGTTACTGGTTTGAGTCCCAGCTAGGCCAGTTGGCGTTTCTGTGTGGAGTTTGCATGCTTTCTTTGTGTTCATATGGGTTTCCTCTGGATACTTCAGTTTCATGCGCTATAGGTGAATAAAACCAAAATAAACTAAAATGGCCGTAGAGTGTGTATGGGTATTTCCTAGTACTGGGTTGTGGCTGGAAGGGCATCCGCTGCATAAAACATATGCTGGAATAGTTGGCAGTACATTCTGTAGTGGTGACTTCTGAAATAAAGACTAAGCCGAAGAAAAATGAATGAATTATCAAGATTCATTTGATTTAGTTTTTTGTCATATTTATTACAGTTCTCTGAAAACATACCAAGTACATCACTGAAACATTTGTCAACATTTGACTTACATAAATCACCTATGGTAGTAGGGTATAACTTTTACATAGGTAGTAAAAAAGTAACTTGTACATAACATTTTTAACGTGTAACCCCTTTGTGATTCAAGAACCCCTAACATCATTCTCTACAGGTGTGCGTAAACCACTGTAACCAGGTAGGCCTATATATAATTAGACATGTATCTTGCTATTATATGTGTCTTGAGAGGCCTGAAGAAATGGGTGATATGAAGGGCCCTTGAAGGAATGCATGAAAGGTTTTAACTGTACGGCTCCAACAAGATATAAACCATATGTGGAAAACAGTCATGAATACATGAAAAGTCTATAGAATAAGAAAAGGAGGAAGGAGCTTTAATTTGGAGTCTCAAATGAATAAGAACTATGAAAAGCATGTTAGACAGGACACAGATGTACTGGCCCAGGTGTCTGTAAGTTAGCCTCTTCTTTGTGTGGGGGTGGAGGTCTCAATTTGGTGTTGAGGTCATGGGGCAGGCTGTCCTGCAGTGGTGATATAACTAAAATTAGGCCTAAGTATAGAATTAAGATGAGAAGTCTCTGTAAAACAGTGCCACATTAGGCACATTACTATTAAAAAATAAAACATTTAAAGAACCCCTACTATGGGTTTTTAAAAATGACCTTCAATGCAATGTGTAACAAAGAATATTCAGCTGATGTTTAAATCTGAAAGTGCACCGAGTTTAAAACTATTGATTCATCTATAAAAAGTTGACTCATAGTGGTTCGAATAAATTGCCATTGTAACGTCTTTAACCGTGTTGGCATGACGTAGGTATGGAATTCAAACCCTGCCCAATGCGCAGACCTGGAAAAATTTAAACCCCCGGCCCCGCTCACAAACATTTTAGCAGATTCTGGTTGAATCAAGTCACATAGATGCTGTGCTCTGAACTGTGAGGGAAAGTTAGCGTTATTTGCCTTACCCAAAGTTAAGGTTGTGAAGAGTCAGTAGTTGAAGTTTATTTTTGTAAAAATAATTAAGTATTAACGGACTAAGTGTAAGTGCAATTAAAATGGTTGCCCCTTTGTTTTCTCTAGCTTGCAAATTGTGAAATTACGGGAGTTTTCCGGGAGAAATAACAAAACTGAGAATAGCGGGAGTTGGGTCTGAAATACGGGAGACTCCCGGGGAAAACAGGAGTGTTGGCAGGTATGCACACACATACAATCTGCACTTTGACTACTTCAAAATTGTTGATAAGCCGTGGTGGGCATTTCTCTCTGTCTCGCACTTAACGCAGTTGACCAATCACAACAGACTGGGTCATCGGACCAATCAGCGCAGATTAGCATTGCGCTAAGGAGGGGTTTGGGAACAAACGAATCACTAAACGAATCCTATGGGAGTCGTTGGGATAATTAGGTAAAAATAAATGCATATTATAAGACAATGAAATAGTTTTTTGACCTTACATGCATATCAGACTGTTGTTGAAGACCCCCAAAATATAACCTTTTATAATGCATAATAGGGGCTCTTTAAATTTTGATGACTGTGAAACTGTGGGTTCTTAAAAACAATTTTGTCATAGTAGAATTAAAATCTAGGAAGAATAAAAAAAATTCTAAAACTAAAAGCAAATACCTATACGCAGTGTGTTTGAAAATTATCATTAAAAACGGTTCATGTTCTTGATTGTTTAGTTTATAAAGTCTAAACTGCAGCAGATGGCACTAAACTCTTGCCAATGATGAGAATGGATCACGTGGGCCACAAACTCTCAGGGTGCTTTCACACCTGTGAATCGATTCAGTTGTTCCGAAACAGAGATTACAATTGTTACATTGTTGCTCTTTGCTGTTGGAGCGGTTCGCTTTCACACTGCAAAGTTTCTAATCGGACCAAAAGAGCTTAAACAAGTCACGTGCGAGTAAACTCTCCTCACATTGGTCAGAGTGTCAGGGTTTATTTTGCAGCGTCCCGCTAAGCTGTCAGGAGAAGTGGTGGTTTGGGGGTGATTGACAGGGTGCGTGCGCGATGTGTCTGAGGAGAGATGCGGAGGGGAGGGGTGAGAAGGGTGCGCGACGATGCCTATTTGAGGACATGTAGGGAGACGCGAGATTACCGGGAGATCATCACTCGTTTGCGGGCATCCGGAGACTCGCGAAACTTCCCACCCCAATCATAATTCTCTCTTCATATAGCCGTATATGCCTATTACATATCCATAAAACACAGTGATACAACCGCGCTCGGATCGGATCGCTTTCTCACTACAATCGAACCGCTCCAGGGTTCGTTTCAATCGAGCCGAGACCACCTCATTCAAGCGATCTCGGAGCGATTACTTTGGCGCGGAACAGAGCGCGATTACCCTGTTCACATATGCCAATCGAACCGCGCTAACTGGGCAAACGAGATACGTTCCGAAACAAAAGTGTAGGTGTGAAAGCACCCTCAGACTTGGCGTTGGCGCCTCAAAGAAATCACTAAAACATAGAAGAGAACATTTCTTTAAAATCCATTTCAGCATAATTTAACAATCGGAGAGAATCAAATAATTGGGATACATGCAACGACTGTAAAAAGGATAAATTTATATGAAGTCATCGGTTTTCATCTATGTAATCTATAATTAAATATTGCTTTTATTTATGTTTTATTAAAGAATAAACTGTAAATGTCTCAGTGTCCGCTGCAAAATTGTGATTTTGGGCTGTGAAGCGCTCTCTGTTGGCGGTTTACAGTACAGCGCTTCAACACTCATATTTCTCCTGCCATGTGTTTGCTAGTTTCTCCGGTGGGCGCTGTTTTAAGAACATTATCCAGCTGCGCTGCTGCTGCCGTCATACTCGTAGCTCTTTTATGTAACTTAATCCTTCTAAACATTGATGCTTTCGGTTTGTTTTTAACAAAAAACGAGCTTCTGAATCGAAGGAGAGTGTCTCGGTATGTTGCTTGCTGTCGTTTTTTTTGCCAGACAGTTAACGTTACTGGAGTAGCTAGCTAACATTAGCTGGCCAGAATAAGGACTTTTGTTTTTCTAATTCTTTTTCATAACACTATTGTATATTCAATTAATTTGTCACACAGGGTGATGTTTACGATACAAATGAGCGAAACAAACTGTAAAACATACAATGAATACTTCAGGAACTCAAAAGTTTCTACGTTAGCTTTGAATATAACGTTCCTGAAACTTGTTGTTATGACTGGAAAAAATGCTGTAGACATTACTATTCAACTGCAGATTTTTCCTTTGTGTGTGTGTGTGTGTGCTTCGTTTGTACGGAATATAATAACAAGTAGCAGAATATACCAATAGCAAAAATACCTATTGTTTTCTATTCTTGTTTGTGTATTAGATGGAGGGAGATGATGGCGACTTCCCCCCTGAGCCATCAGAACATTCCCTTTCCCAGCGAGGAAGTGTGGCTTCCTCAGTCACCAGAGGTCTGTACTTTTAAGGTTTCATTGGTTGCTTTTTAGACCATATTCACTTTAATATAGCTCAGATCAAAGTTGACCTGACATGATCTGTGTTTTCTCTTGTGTTTCTCCAGCTCAGGATTTGTTGGTGTACTTGGCTAATGACAGTGCAGTGCACTTGACTCTGGAGGGTCTCGGTTGCATGAATGCGCAGGAGCTCGGCCGCAGTGTTAGGGAGGCCCTCAACATTCCCAACTCCGCTGCTGATGTGTTCGCTTTCTGGTTCTGCTCTCCTTTGCTTGGTAATGAACATTCTTTTTGTGCTCTGATCAGATGTTAGACTAAAATAGAGCTTATGACCAATTCATATGTAGGTTACGAAGGCAAGAAAGGCACAATGATGGCATTTAATGCCTCTATGGCTGATTTGCAACTTAAGTGTTGGGAGGGGACTTCAGGAAGTCCTCTAGGCGTTAATGCCACCCACTGACATTTGTGAATTATTGAATGTCTCTATGAACAAAGACAGCTTTTTACTTACTGGAGACAGGAATACACAACATGAGTTTAAACGGCAGACGTCATGCGTTCACAAACATTGTAAATGGTTAGAAGAAAAAAGCCAGCAAATGCTGAAGGCATGCAGACTATTGGATGATAACCATAACAATATTATGCTTATAATAATCATGATCATTAAGGTAGTCCATACTATTATCAGTAAGAACAATAGAGGCTTTGCACTTATGTCAAGATTTGGTCAGTTACCCGTATGTATGGGTCATATTGCCGGTACCTGGATGTAATCAACAGAATGAGTTTCACAGTTAATGTACTACTAAACAAGTTGTTCTGGTTATTTATGCTGTCTAAACCATGAACAAATAAAGTGTATGCTGCTAAATCAAATGCAGAAGGACTTGGAAAGCTGGAAAGGATGCAATATTTTGAAAAACTAAATGTAATAGGTATCAGATAATAGCCTATTTATTTCAGATCTTGACCTGAAATTAGACCGGAGAGGGCTGTTGTCAAGATTTTTACCCTTGAAAATCCTGTATATTTTGGCCAACCATGAGTACATTTTGTCCCTCAGACAGTTTTTTTTCTCTTTTATGCTTTATTTGCATTCTAGATTAGTACTCTAAACAATTTTCTGGTCTGACCTATTAGTACAGCCAAAAACATGATAATAATTGTTTATTTTCACCAGCATTTATCAGCAAAATATGTGAGTTTTGTTTGGTTTAGTGGCGGCATGGTTTAGATTAGGGGTCTCAAACTCGCGGCCCGCGGGCCATTTGCGGCCCTCAGTGCAATATTTTGTGGCCCGCGCCGACCGCTGTACACTGACAGAATCAGCTGAGCGGGGAGCGCTCTCTCTCCCCGCTCCGCTGATTCTATCCGTACACAGCGGTCACTGGCATTCCCCGCCCGCCGTGTTGTCGCGCGCGTTCTTATCGGCTGTGTTGACGCGCGCGTACTCAAGAGCGGTGTTATCGCGCGCCTACTGAAGGGCGGGACCAAGGGTGTGTCGCGTCGCGGGGCACTTTTGATCATTTTGGAAGGGCACTTTCTATGCAAGACTAAAAAGGGCATGTGCACTGCACAGGTTGAGCCCTATGTGTGCACGTGCCTGCCCTGCATCTTAGATATATCATAGGTAGATACAGACTGGTACAGACTGATGTGACTGGAGTGGGGTGGGGGTGTTTTATTTATACATATATACACCTTTTTTTAGGTGAGGGAATGGAAGTTTTGAGTGAGTTCCCCCACTTTTTACCCTGGGACTTCAATAAGTCAAAGTACAGGTCTAGACTTAATGATGATCATCTTCAAGCCATACTGAGGGTCTCCACTGCTTCCGCTCTAAAGCCAAATGTGGTTCAGATTTGTGAGAAGAAGCGCTGTCAAGTCTCTGGCAGCAAGAAGTAGGCAAAAGATGCCATGTTCAGAAGAACTGTTCATAATCTTCACTCAATGTTCTATTAATGTTCAGGACACTTCATGTTCAGAAAAAATAATTAAATGTTAATAATGACATTTGAGGACTTTTTTTTGTGAAATCCCTTATGCGGCCCAGCCTCCCCCAGACTTTGCCTCCTGCGGCCCCCAGGTAAATTGAGTTTGAGACCCCTGGTTTAGATTCTGTGCCTTCAATATGGCCAATTGATGGTTTGTCATGACAACAGTGTCATTGGATTTAGTTTCTGAGCTATTTTCCCCCTGCTAACGAATTATAGAAACATTAACATCCAACCGCAATCACCCTGATGTTCAAGAGCTCGACCATTTAAAGGTGAAAAATTTGCAGAATGAGTTCAATTAACAGAAATATGTTGTTTAATGTGGGTATTAATATAATTATCAGTATAGTTATCATTCTTGATGAGAACAGATCTTAAAAGCAGCATCACACACTTCCAGACTTCATTCAGAAACATTCACTTTATGATTTCTTGGGCCGAACTTAAAGTTTCCCACCCTTAGCCTAATTTCCTTGTTTTCTGCTTAAACAGAGCTGCAGTTGAAGCCGAAACATCTGCCTTACAAGCTGTGTCGTCAGTGGCAGGACCTGCTGTACCGCTTTACCGAGGCCCCTACAGAAGACATTTCTTTAGGTATACTTTTGTGTTTGTTTTTTTCATGCTTCCCCTCACCTGAACAGTTAGATGTCTAACTGTCTAACTCTCTATCTTTTTAAAGATGAGCCAAGTCTGCTATTCAAACGAAGTGTTTTTTATCCACGGGCAAAAGAACTTCAGGTATTGAGCACGTTTTGTGTCTTGTATTGTATAGTTCACCAAAAAATGTAGATTCTTTCGTTATTTGCTAGCCATTGTGTCTTTTCAGACTAGTATTTGGCTTCATTTATTGTGTAAACTGAAGATATGAAAACAGGAATGTCTCCGTTTATATTTAAGCCTAATCCACACTTCAACTTTTCACATTGCAGTTGTTGCTCAGATTGCGCAATATGACCCCAGAGTGGGAAATTGTGCAAAAGCGGAGGCTCATTTGCATTGTATCAGATGTGTTTCATGTTGGTTTGTACACGTTATGTAAGACTTTGCGCTTGATTGAACGCTTTGGGCTGGGCAGTGGAGGTCATGAGCTGCTTATTGCTCTGAGCCTTCATAACATGAAGGGATCCAAAGAGATTAAGTTGGATAGCATTCATATAGACAAGCCAGATCTTCGTTGATTCTCTGAATACATATCAGAACATACTGTACACATCAGGAAATAAAAAATTACACAAATAGGATTTTTTAGAATTTCTGCTACAGTCATGAGCTGCTTGTTTTAGTTACTTTGTAATACATATTTGTTTTGTATTGTCAGATTGAAGATGAAGGAGTGTTGAGACTGCTTTATGATGAAGCAAAGATGAACATCTTGGAGGGTCGGTACCCATGTGACCCAGAACACTGGCTGACACTGGGTGCATTGTCCTGTGCCATAGAGTTAGGGACTGAACTAGACGACCAGGCTCTCACAGCAGCAATCAGGTGATCCCATGTGATTAATATAGAGGTTAATGGTCCTGTGTTTCTAATAAAAAGAGGTTAATGTAAAGTTGTTCAGCAAATGAATGACGTTTGATGTCTTCTTTTTTGGGATATTAATTCCAAGATTGTTTGCACTTACAAACGTGTAGTCAGTGCTTCCCACAGGTTTAAAATATACTTGTGGTGGTAGCCGGATTGAAACACGCATAAATGGTTAATAACATGCAACAAACAAAACAACTATATTTTTATTATATGACACTTTTATACACATTTTCTCTTCAGTGGGTTAAAAATATTAAAACACTATTAAAATAAAAGAAATCCACTATTTCTCCTACTTTTATGCTATTTAGGAGCCATGTGCACCCACTGACTGGTAAAGGCTGCATGCAATATATTAACATCATTAACTTAATAAAATATACAGCAAATGAGAAATAAATAACAAAAAATAAAAATAAAAATAGGCAATAATGCTAAAAATTATAATAATTACTAGGAATAAAAAGTGTAGATTATTTAAATAAGTCAAATTAGTTGATTAACCATTTCTAATGGTGTTCAAATATTTTGCAGCCAGTATATTTTGTTCTCAAACACAGAACCAGCAGTAGGAAATGTGTGAGAAGATTTTCTACTGGTTAATTGATCACGACTGCTTGGCTTTTTTGGGCGGAAAGAGTGTAAAAGGATGATAATAATAGTATTATTCACATGTCACCACCACATATACTAGGTTATACCGTTATTATACCTGGGCGACTCGCCCAAGTAAAGTCTATGTGTGGGAGGCACTGGTACCTCGCACATCAGAGTAAAAGGAAAAAGAAATCAAGTACCAATAGATGGATGCTTCTCTCCAGTCTTACAGTCTAGGCAATTTGGTTTTCGTTTCATAACCCTTTTAAAATTGTATATATTCATATTTTTGCATTTACCGTTTGATGTTTATCTACTATTTATCAATTACAAGTTGCAAGTTTAATCCCGATCCTAAGATTAAATTATTTTCAACAATTGTGGTATAATTTTTTTATTAAAGGAAAAGTTCACCTAAAAAATTACTCACTATTTTCTGTTGAACACTAATGAAGATATTTTGAAGAAATAAATACTATGGAATCCAATGGTTACAGGTTACAGGTTACCAGCTCTATGTAAAAAATATATGTTTGTGTTAAATGAAAGAAAGAAAATCAAGCAGGTTTGGAACAAGTACAGAATTTTTCCTTTAAAACTGATCTTGAAATGCTGTAATTAATTGCAGTTTGCCCATGTGATGTTATTCCAGAGAGAAGAAGCTGTCCTCATTCCTTCCAGCCCATGCGGCTCTAGGAGGAGGAGGTTTTCTGTCCACACTTCGGGGGAGAGGCGGGAGGAATGCAGAGATGGAGCAAAACCTTGTAAAGGAGTGTCGTTCAGTCTGCTCCTCTGCTGCTAGCGGCTCCAGCCAGGAGCCCATCGCTCTGCTGCGCCAGTACCTCAGGAGCTGCCACAACCTGCCTTACTATGGGTAAGATCCCTGTTATTTTGATGCGTATCATTATTGTAATCATCTGTATGTCATCATGTTGTATTTATTTGTTATAGTATATTAACAATATGTTATTTATTAATGTTATATTATTTATGTTGTATTTATTGTGTTGTAATTTCCTTATTTATTATTTGCTATATCGCATACATTTGTTAATGTAGTTAATAAATATTAAACCTCATTTTCTGTACTGAAACTACATGCTGAGTAACTGATATTGTGTTTTTGCAATGAATAAAAATCAGCTGGCCCTTTTAATATGGCTGTTAATGTCATCTAAAATGGTTTTCAACACTTTAGAAATGTTTAACACTGAATAAAGCACAATATTGTGAATTTTATGAGAATGCTATGAGCGATTCAAAGACAACAAAAAATATTTGTATTATTTTTCAGCTGGGTCAGTGACAATTTTGGCAGGGCAAATAAAAATCTGATGTTTTAACTCTGGCAAATGTTTTTGCTTTGGCAGATGTGCTTTTTTCGCGGGTGAGATCGATAAGCCAGCTCAGGGCCTCCTTCACAGAGGTGGGCGTAAGGCTGTGAGTGTGGGCATCAGTCTGGAAGGAGTGTATGTCATGGATGTGAAAGAGAAGCATGTCCTTTTGGGGCTGAAGTTCACTGAGCTTTCCTGGGATCACAGCTATCCAGAGACAGAGGGAGACTCGCATATTCTCTGGCTGGAGTTTGATGGGGAGGAAGCTGGCACCCCTGTCAATAAGTTATTAAAGATTTACTCAAAGCAGGCGAGTACACACTTTATGACCAATGCATAGTTAACAACTGGTATTAAGATACATTTTGGCTGATCAGATCACAAGATGGAGACACGTTCCCGTTTACATCTGGTGCTTTCTTTGTTGCTTTTTTTTTACTACTTTACTGATGTTTTTGAGGGAGGGCCTAAGGTTGGTGTTTGTGTCTTTTTGTTATTTATTTGATGTAATATTTCAAAGTAAGTTTGCACTATTCATACCCTGAAGGTGACACTAAATGCCCATTTCACAAGTTGATCTGATTCTTTAGGGTCTTAAAAAGCCTCTATTATACATTAAAAAGGGTCCTATTTTGTTTTTATGGGTCTCTAACAACATACCGATATGCATGCAAGATCAAAAAACACTTTCATGGTCTTATAATATGAATTTTTTTTACCTAATTATCCCAGTAACTCCCATATGAATCGTTCAGCCATTTATTTGTTCCTAAACCCTTCGATGACCTGTTGCGATTGGTCGACAGCGTTCAGCGACAGTAAAGTGCGGTTTATCAAGCCCCCGGGTCGCCAACATTGGTATAGGATCTAGGGATGGGAAGATTAACCGATATGTATCGATACGCGGTTATGCGCGTTCACGATGCGAGTGCATCGGTTGAGCAGCAGAGGATGAATGAAATTTTGGAAGCAAATCGAGATGCATCGGTTTTTGCGAGATGCATCGATTTTTTCCGAGATACAGCTTATATTTTTAATATAGAATGTATTTTTTATTTATTAACAAGTGTTGTCAACCTGTTTTTGGCGCATAATTTAATCGACCTACTTAAAGTAAGCCTTAGCAACGGATTTGCGGATGTGTACACTTACACTACAACTGTATCAGGTGTGCGGATGAAGCTAGTGAAGCGCCCTCAGAAAGCGCGAGAAGCAAAACAAACATTTTATTCCCCACTGAGTTTTAAATCTAAAGTATGGCAAGCAACATTACGGATTTAAGGATGGACGACATGACAGGACAGATGCAATTTGCAAAATGTGCCGCGCATCTGTAAAATACGCGGGCAGTATGACTAATCTGATATCTCACTTGAAGCGGCGCCACGGTGTTGTTGTGAAAGCATCTTCCAGTGTTTCTGCATCCCCGGCTTTCGCACTGCTTCAACCAGCTCCAAAAGTGGTGAGAAAAGCATTGCAAGTTTTTTTTTTCCCATGCGCAACAGTTCTGCTCGCTCTACGCCAATAACGAATGCTATTGCCATGTTCATCTGCAAAGATATTCAGCCTAGTGTCACGGAGAACGAAGGTTTTAAACACCTCCTCCTGTTAATTTTTATTTAATTATAATAATAATAATATTAATAATAATAATGATAAAAATAATTGGGTGTCACGGTGGCACAGTGGGTAGTTTGACCACCTCACAGCAAGAAGATTGCTGGTTTGTTATATTTTTATTAGCCTGTTGTTTACAGTGACAGTGATGTTTCAAAGCAGCATAACACTGCTAGTTCACAACCTTAAGTTTTGAATAATCAGTGGCAAAATATATCTTTGTAAAACTTGTTTTCATAGTTGAAAAGTTAAATCACAATTCTTGTTGTGCAATGCTAATTTTATTTATGTTGAAAGAGTGCAAATATATACATATTTTTTTAATATATATTGCACTCATACATTCTGTTTATCTTGAAAATACTTAAATAATATGTGCTATATGTTCTAAAATGGCCCTCTACTGTAAACTGACACTCTGGCTCTGAGAGAAGAGCCAGTTTGTAAAAAAAAGTCTTGGTTTTGCTTGGTTTATAAATAATCAAACTCATTCAATGGCACAGCATCCTCTTTCACATCATCTCATAAACTTGATCTAATTAGTTAGTGCTGAAATATCGCATCGTATCGTGATATGGGTGTGAATCGTATCGTGTTGCATCGCAATATGTCACAAATGTATCGCTAATATATCGGATCGTATTCTTTGTATCGAGATGCGTATCGGATCGGCATTATAGCTTAGATGCCCAACCCTAATAGGATCTGATCGCAGTCCGAAACACGCTTCATAGTAAACTTACTAACACCACAGTAAACAGTACCCGGTTCTTAATAGTGTTATTCAGACACCTCACCCCCGAAAGCAGTGTAGTTAAACACCAGCGTATTGCTCTATTCTTAAATAACTTACATTCAGTATTAATCCACACAGCAGCAAAAGCTAAACTATTTCAAACCTTGACCGCTGCACGTGTGTAGGAACAGCTCACGGTGGCCAAAGCAACGGCAGTGGAAGGCGAGCTCACAAATGCATTTAAACCCCAAACAAAGCAGCATGCATCGCGTTTTCAACGTGGCATTAGATCACAAGGATCACATCTCCAGCCAGGGGGTTGTAGCGCTCACCAGCACTTCTCCTCAGCATGCAGCAGCCTGCCTTTGTTTGACTTAGTGCCTAATAAACTGGCCTTATTTTGCACGCACCCCTGGTGTATTGTCTATCCATTACAAAATAGAGAAGGAAACTAAATTATGAGCTGTGTACTGAAGTTCCTGTCCAGCTCTGTCAAAGTCTCATACAGCAGTAGTCTTTTCTGATCCTTCCTTAAACAAATGAATCGCCCATTGTAAGCGTGTAGACTGCTGAATCACTCCTTTCTAGGGATGTAACGGTATTGTAAATACCGTCATACCGCAATATTAATTTTTTTCGATATTACCGAAGTCGCATGACTCGGTAAAACTATAGGTCTTCTGAGAAAATTTGCTCAGGCGAATGAAGCGAACGGGAGATAGCGAAAACTACTATACCCATCAGCCCATGCTTGACCATCAGCCCTTGCGGTCTGTTGTCGCTACAGATCCAGTAATGCGGAAATGGAGTGTGCTGCTAGAAGCGGGGATGAAAAGAGCTGGAAAACTCTAAGGCCCCGTTAACACTAATGCGTTTTAGTTTGAAAACGCATAAGTTTTGCTACGGTTACGCCAACCGTCCACACTACGCCGGAGTTCTCGAGCGCCGAAAACGGAGCGTTTCGAAAACGCTGGAGAGGCTGTTTTCATTCTTGAAACGCTGCAGCTCCGTCTCATTGTGGATGATGGAAAACGGAGACATCTAAAACGGAGGCGGGGCTGCAGACGTTTGCCTCTCTGATTGGGGCTTTTCCTGAATATTAAGTAGCCTAACACGCACAGTTAAGTCATGCATTCTCCGTGTAAGTTCAGACTTCGCAAGTTTGATCAAGGCTGCAGTCTCTTCTTCTCAGTTTGATATGGAAAAGCAGACTATACCGAGGACACGGGTAAATCTTCAAAGGGAACAGTGTACTTTATAACTTCATTCACATCACCCTGGCTTCGTTGTTTCACTTTCTCAACAATAAAATGTAAACATGATTTAAGGAACTGCCTATTTTCATTTTAATATTAGCAACTTAGACAGCAGACATGTTGAGGCGTCGTGCTGCATAAGATGAGCGTCATCTTCACTGTGTAGATATTTATAACAAAACGGAGCCGATAACAACTGCCTCCTTTCAATTTCAGTGAAAATACGAAACACAGCCTCTCTTTTGCTGAGTATCAGTTTTAAGAATCGATAATGGCCATTTTAAAAGTATAACATACAATAAGTTTATACATTATAGGAAATAAAGGCAAGCGATCAGTCAATATACAGCATGTACGTGCTTACATTAATCATTAACTTATCTTTGCGCTCAGCCAAAACACGTTACCTGAGAACAAGTAATAGATTCCAATGCCCAAAGTCAGGGAATATGTCGTTAGATAAAGACAACAAGATAAATGAAATATCCCGTTTAATAAATAGTGAGATTAGATCCAGCGGGAGATGCTTGATGAGAAGTCCGACTAGCAGAGCTCTCATCTGGGTAGATGGGCTGAGTGTGATTAAATGTTGAATGTGATGAGTTTTTAACAATACTAAATTGAAACTTTATTTTTTTACATGGTTTAATAATTTTTTGTTATTAAAATTGAAGTTCCTGTTTCAAAGCTTACAGATAGATGGCTAATTTGTATGTCATTGACACTTTTGGCACTTTTTTGGAGTATTTTCATAAGTTTTGTTTTTTCCTGTAAATGATTCAATAAATACCGTACCGTGACATTCATACCGAGGTATTACAGTACCGTGAAATTCTGATACCGTTACATCCCTACTCCTTTCCCTCACACTTCCAATAATATCCAGGTAAGCACAGCGTTTTCATGACTTAAGGATCTGTCGTTGCTGCTGTGTTAGTGGGCGGAGCTGCAGGTTTAAATTTTACAGTTTTCGCATGCAACAATTGGGCGGGGCTTATTTTTCGTAGCCATGTCACGCCGAAACGGCTAAAGACTCGTTATGTAGACTAGTCCTTCTAACCACTATGAGTAGACTCCTTTTTTTTTTTTTTTTTTTTTTTTTTTTTTTTTTAACAGATGAATCAATAGTTGTAAAAACTGTCCACTTTTAGATTTGAGCCTTAGCTAGATATTTCACTTATCTTAGTACACTACATGGAAGGTCATTTTCAAAAACCCATAATAGGGGCTCTTTAATGAAAAGTAACTTGTAACTTACTTTGGTTTAACATTTCAATGCTAGTCTAAAATAAACTCCATTTTTCTCCTGTCAGAGCAGTATTGCTTTGAATGACAATGGTCTGCTGCTCACCCCACCCCTCTCAGAGGGGGATCAAGAGTGGTTGGTCCATTCTTGAGGTAGCAAAAGCTGCTCACAACCTACTGCTGACTCTAGTCTGTATGACTGACATGATGAATATTTGAAGCTGTTTCCACACTATAATAGCAAAATCTGTGATCACAACAAATTATCTCGGTCATGTATTATGGACATATATTATTTGTCTATGCTTGACATTGCAGCCTGCCATTTATCAATGTCAAATGTATTCATAACGAACATCTAACATTATACATGAAAAGTGACACTGCAGGATTTTACAAATGCTCAGCTGCACAGTTTCTGTGCTAGTTAGCGTGAAACCACAACACCACACTGACAAAGACACACCTGCACATGAGAGGGTAATGAAGGCTAAACACGAGGCATCTGAAACTGGTGTTTGATAACAATAGCCAAACAAAAGAAATATCTTGCAAAGATACTGACTAAAAGCAGAAAAACAATTAGCACCATAATTAACCACTTTACTTTGAGTTTACAAAAAGGGATGGGGAGGAAGACGGAGTTCATAGTTGCTTGGATTCAGGCACATGCAAAGAACTAGCTGGATACATGTAAACTCGCACGAAATTCAAGCAAGTTAATCATGGCACATAAATACACTTTGACAGTTTCATCCAATAAACCCTTGTGTGCTGTTGGGAATGTGTTCATCCACTCTGGGGTGATTTTCAAGTCTTAATTTGGCCACAACTTTCTCTGTATTTCAGCAAATTGAATGATTTTTGGTGAATTTATTTTTGTTTTTATGAAAATGCTTTGAAAAAAAGCTCAACAATACACTGTAGGCAGATGTACTACCCTTTCATTATGTTTGGGGCTGTTTTTGCCTAATTGACTGCCATTATAAGTACCAAGACTTTTTTTTTGATTGCTAAGCCATGACACCATATCATCATGCAGTTTTGATCATTACTGTTTTTCTCTTTTGGGAATAAGTCAAATCTAAATGCTTTCAAACCTAATACATTAATTTTCATGTGCTTATTTTGTTCATATCTGTGTATGTAAAATGTAAATATTAATTTACTGTTCATTTTATTCTCTAGGCTGAACTTATGAGTGGTCTTATCGAGTTTTGTGTGGAGTTACGCTCTGTTAGTGAGTCAGCAGCCACAGGTACAGACGGTGAGGTCACGCCTTCCCATGAACCTACGAGTCCAGAAACCAACAACAAAACCAGAGAGCGACGGCAGGGGAAACTGCGCAGACAGAACAGTGTGGTCTGTAGCCGAGTCCATTCCCTGAGCACCATCAACTATGTTGATGACGGTATGACTCCTTAAAATCATTTTGTTATGACATCTTTTTTTTATTTTTTATGAAAGTCTGTTCCCGCCACTAAATAATAATAATAATAAAAAAACTATAATAAAAGTCAGAATTTTAAGTTGTGACTTATTTTAACTTCTGACATTATAACTTGGAAATCTGACATTGTATGACGGAATTGCGACTTTATTACTCGGAACTCTGATTTTATAACTTGGAAATGTGGATTTATAACCCAGAGCTCTGACTTTATAACTCCAAATTGCAAATGTAAAACTCTGAATTGCGACTTTATTACTCGGAACTCTGACTTTATAACTCGAAATTGCAAATTTATAACTCGGAATTGTGACTTCATAACTCGAATTGCAAATTTATAACTCGGAATTGCGACTATAACTCGGAACTCTGACTTTATAACTCGAAATTGCAAATTTATAACTCGGAATTGTGACTTTATAACTCGAATTGCAAATTTATAACTCGGAATTGCGACTATAACTCGGAACTCTGACTTTATAACTCGAAATTGCAAATTTATAACTCGGAATTGTGACTTTATAACTCGAATTGCAAATTTATAACTCGGAATTGCGACTATAACTCGGAACTCTGACTTTATAACTCGAAATTGCAAATTTATAACTCGGAATTGTGACTTTATAACTCGAATTGCAAATTTATAACTCGGAATTGTGACTATAACTCGTAACTCTGACTTTATAACTCGGAATTGGGAATTTTTAACTCAGAATTGCGACTTTATAACTCAGAATTTTGACTTTAGAACTCGGATTTGCAAATGTATAACTCGGAATTGCGACTGCATAACTTTGTAATTCTGACTTCATAACTCGGAATTTCGACTTTATAACTCGGAATTCTTTATAGTTTTTTTTTTTACTTTTTATTTTTTATAATTCAGTGGCAGGAAGGGGCTTCCATAGTTTTTCCTATTTATCATACAGAAATAAAGACCTGGGACAAAGCTTATTTTAATTTTTCCATTGTTTCAGGCAAAGAAATCAAACGTTTGAAACCCAAAAGAGCAGCTTCTTTCTTTACAAGGCAAGCGCAGCCTCCCACTTACTCTGCTGTTCAGGTGACTGAAAGTTTAGAGCAAGGGTGAACCCAGGCCTCAACACTGCCCTCTTCTGCCCGGTGACCAAAACTACATCTGTCCATTGAGATTCTCAGAGACGCAGTGCAAAACCATCTGAATGGACAGATCGGACCAAGATCACAGACCGAAGAGCTGAACCACTATTTATAGATGATTTGTGCATGATGTCGCAAGTTTAAGTTAAAGCTTTTTCTCTGTTGGCTGTTAAAAAATAAGAATGTGAAATTAAGTTTTCTTTTCCGTCAAACATTTTGGTGTAAGAGCAAGGCTAAGGGAAGCGATCTGAAAGCTCTGGGTCGGTCACTGTTCTGAATGTAGATTCTACTATGCAACCATCAAACCAAACTACATCCCAGTGGCTGTACATCAATAATTCCTCACTTTGATCCACTAATACTGCTAAAACCAGACCTGCTGCACCAAAGGAAACAATCAAAGCCTTTAGTATAGGTTGTAAAACTCCTATATGCAAAACCAGCGCTGCAGTTTGTGGTAAAGCATTGCAATGACAGCATAAAGTGAGATTCTGAATGTGTAAAGTTCTTTTCTGTCCATGTTTGCATATGCAGACTTCAGACTTCTACTGAGCAGCAGGACAGATGTGAGTTCTGTTAAATCATGGCGATAGGTTGAGATTGTTCACTAGCTTGTTGCTCAGGAGAATCATGCCTTTCTGATGGAGTGCACTGTAATGCACTGCAGAAAACAATCCAGGTGATTTGTTAGCATAATCTGCATTTGTAAAGCAGAGAGAATGTTAATACATGAAATTACGAGATGATTGGAGGCTTGATCAATCAATGACAATGTACGTCTGCTTTTCAATTTCCTGATGCTTTTCAAATGTATGAAACTCTAAGCATACTGTATTTTCTTGTCTTTAAGAATTTGAATGTACTGAATCTCTGAATATTTTTAGAAAAGTAATGGTAACACAGGGCACAGCTTTAAAGAATAGTTCACCCAAAAACAAAAAAGATATTTTGAAGAATGCTGGTTGCTGACACATATCGACCTCTATGGAATAAATGACTTAGTCAATGGATGCTTGCAACCAGCATTTATCACAATATCTTGTGTGTTAAACAGAAAAACAACTTAAGTAAAATTAATTCTGATTTTATAACTTGGAATTGCGTCTGTATAACTCACTCGTTGTGACTTTATAACTCAGAATTCTGAATTTATGACTCGGAATTGTGACTTTATAACTCAGAATTGTGACTTTATAACTCTGAATTCTTGCTTTATAACTCAGAATTCTGTCTTTATAACTTGGAATTCGGACTTTATAACTCGGAATTGCAGCTGTATCACACGGAATTCTGACTTTATAACTCAGAATTTTTGTCTTTATAACTCAGAAATCTAACTTTATAACTCAGAATTGCGGTTGTATAACTCGAAATTCTGTCTTTAAAACTCAGAATTCTGACTTTATAACTCGGAATTGCAACTGTAACTCAGAAATCTGACTTTATAACTCGGGAATTCTGACCAACTTGGAATTGCGACTATAACTTGGAATTCTCTTTATAACTTGAAATTGTGACTAATTCAGAATGCTGTTTTTATAACTTGGAATAGTGACTATATAAATCGTAATTTTGACTTTATAACTCAGAATTCTGTTTTTATAACTTAGAATTGCTACTTTACAACTCAGAATAAAGTCGCATTTCTGAGTTATAAAAACAGAATTTAGATTTAATGATGAACTATCTCTTAAACTTCTGATCAGTACAAAACATCTTGTTTGATCTGGTAACGGAAGCGGCATGCTAATTATCGGGCGTCATCTGATCACCAGCCTCCAGTTACCTGCCCTGTGTCATTATTACCAAGCAGTTCATGGTTCTGATAGTCTGAATTGTGTGTAATTACTACATTATTGAAATTACGCATTCTGTTTTGGTATTAATGTCAATGTGCTGCTTATTTACAGATGAACTAAATGTTCATGTATCTGTAAACGCTTAATGTCAAGTCCTGTTGCCAGGTCTTTACTTACCACATCTCTGTATATTTATCCATGCATGACGCATCTGTTGTCTTAAATTGATTTTGTGGTGTGCATGTTTTTGTACATGTTTCCTTATCCATTTATACACTTGTAAGAAGAAAACTTTAACCTTTTGCATCACGTGCTGAACTGTGAAAGAAAAACGGACAGCTGCATGGTGTAAAATGAACAGTACACACTGACTCATCACCCTGCATTTCTGTATTCATCATTTATACTAGAATGCTTAATCCCAGATCATCTGTGCTATTGTAAAGTCATTTTTTCCACTCTAAATTGAATGCAATGTTTATATTGTAGTCTGAACATCTGTCATGCACTTATGCACATACTAACAAAGCTGTAGATAGTCACGTCTGTGTTTTGGAAATACAAAGTTGTCAGTACTATTTTAAAGTGCCTTTTTTAACATTTGATCTGTTTATGTTGTTTTGCTGTCATCTGTCTTTTGAAATTGTATTTCCACTATCTTTTGTTGTTTGTGATGTTTTCTATACCAATTTCACTACCAAACCTTTGTGACTGTAAAATTAAAGAAATCCATTTATATGCAGCATTAAACTTTTTATTCCTGCTTTGTACTAACCGGCATAACTATCAGTGAATCATTTTCTGTATAATGTATTTTGTAATGATGTTTTATTTAATCTTTACCTGCAACAAGGTCTTTGATGTGTTGAATCTTGAGGAGAAAAATGATGAAAATAAATTTAATGACTAAATATTGTCCATGTTGTCTTATACTAGCTTTTTTGGTAAAATTTGTTTTAATTATGCAATAATATTGTATTAATTGTCATAAATTGTTTATAAAAAAAACATTTGGTAACATTATCAAAGTGAAGCCAAAATTTCCCATCTATGGCTGCTGTCATCTTTTGATTTGAGCAATGAAGTCTACTTAATTTGGAGCCGAAGTCTGCGCAGAATTGATCTTAAAGGTCCTGTGAAGTGCTTTGAAATATGCATTTTTATTAGATGTTTGACGTAATCTTTACTGAAACACGAAGAGAGGGTGGGACTTAGTGTAGCTCCTCCCCTTTTTGTTTTTTCAGCTCTGCCTGTGAGAGTGGTTGAGCTCAAGTGCATCAAATGAAAAGTGTCTTGAAGGGGACGGGGCTTGTCAGATACTAGAGAGCATTTGATTGGTCAGAAGATTTGATAAGAAACTAAAGTATGTGGTGACATGAAGAAAGGGGTCTGGCAGACTCGGTGCAGATGCAATCTGAGCTGCATCCAATGCTTTTTAATGCGCTCACCCAACCCTACCCCTCACAGTGGTCACTAGTTCCGTTAAGTGCATTGTGTCTGACATTGCATCTCTGAGCGATGCACTTTCAACTTGCATCATGAAGGCTGCATTTAGATACTAATGGATGTGAATAAAACTTTATCTGTTTAGGCGGAGGAGACAAACTGCAAGCTTTGGATGCTTTTGGATCTTCTAAATGCTGATTTTGTCACTGTTTTAAAGAGCCCTAGCTTATAGATATCCTTAAGACTAACACACTGATAATAACATCTAAAAAACGTTTTTTTATGGGGCCTTTAAATGGGGTATGTAGGTGGCAGCAAATTCTAAATTCCCAGACCCCCAAACACAAGCACACCACACCTCTCTTTATAGCATCAAATAACCTAAGTAAAAAAGCACTCTTACTAGAATAAATATTTTAACACACGTTAGGATAATACAAACCGAATATAAAAAGGTGTATATATATATATATATATATATATATATATATATATATATATATATATATATATATATATATATATATATATATATATATATACATACATACAGTTGGTGAAGATGCAGCCTAGTTCGCGCCCCCGGACTTTTACTTTGAAATACTATCTACAGGAGCGCCATTTTGGCTCAAAGCCCTAGCCTCATCAACAAACTGAGTTGGCAGGTAGCAACCACAGCTCTTGCAACAGATGTTTTGTTGACATCTGTCATTCATTCATTTAATAATTCTCGCTTTGACACCAGACAATAGTTAATAGTTGAAATGAGTTCAGCCACAACACCACCGGACTCGGACCCGGCCCAGCGGCGGCGGGTTCACAGTATGCTGAAGCTCTACTACGGCCTGAATGAGGAAGGAAAAGCCACAGAACAAGCCGAGTCTCTGGATCCTTGCGATATCAACGGACCGCATTTCGACCCAGAGATTTATTTAAATAAGGTAGAGTAGCTAATAGTGACGAATGTCCTGGCTTTATTATTTAGTTATTAGGGTCACCAAATTGAGAGTGCTGTCATTATGTGCCACATATGCAATATTCTTCCAGTAATATATAGGCTAATATAGGCTAAATGTCCCGTTGTTTGACTTAAAAAATGTGCTTTTTGTGTTTCAGTTGAGGAAGGAGTGTTCTCTGACTGAGCTGATGGACCACGAGAGCTGCATGGTCAAGCAGATCAGATCTCTGGACAGTGACATGCAAACTCTGGTTTATGAAAACTACAACAAGTTCATCTCAGCCACAGGTTATCAAATGACCTTTTAAAAAAACAGACATTAAGAAATTTTACTAAGTCATAGTTGTCCCTGAAGAAATCAGAATTGCTATAAGAATGTAATTATATATGAGCAATTCCTGCGTTATGAATGTGACATTTGCAGTAAAAACATACATTCACATGATAGAAAGTGTATGTTAACATTATATTGAAACATCCGTTTATATTTTCTAGAACAATTAACCACAGAGTTAAGGGACTAGAAAAATATCAATCTGTAAACAAGTTTTGTATTTTAAATAAGGAAAATAAACATGTGTTATGAATGTGACCAAAAAGACTGAGTTTGCAGTATACAACATTCTTTGTAGAAATTCTGTTAATTAAACTGCACAACCCAGAAGAAATAATGCTAATCAAAAGGCTAAAAGATGACTCTAGAACAAAAATAATTGACTTTATTTTACTTGTCATTTTTGCATTTCTGAGGAAAAGGTGTCGTTATGGATGACATCTCTTTGTTATGGATGTGACCGATGTGAAATTGGCACTTGTGTGACTTTGGTAAATCAAATATAATAGTTTGAAAACATTGACAGAGACATTTTTGAGTATTTTTGCAGTACTGTAAAATACAAGCCTACACAAAAAAACTTCCATGTTTTGGTGAAAACCTTTTTTTTTTTCATGACAAGGTTAACATTTGCATGGAATTGCTCATATAAAACCACAGTTTGTGTTTTTAACTTAAAAATCATAGCACACCTAAATGCAAAACTTAAATTAAAAAGCGTTATCCAGAACATATAGGATATTCTGGGCCATGAAGGATCTATCAGTTATATCATCTTTACTCTGGGAAACAATGTAAGCATTTGATGGCTACATTTAAAGAAGCATTTGAATTTAGACAGCCTTTGATGGTGCACTTATATGGGCATTTATATGTGGCCTTCAAAGAAATAATTCTCTGAGATGCAGTTACTATCAGAATGGCTGCCTTATAGTTTATTTAATGGTGTCATTCATTTTTGTTTGGACATTGATGCATCATACGAGTTTCATAGCCTTTTCCAGTTCATGTTAAAATGTATTGATTATTCCTCAGACACAATCAGAAAAATGAAGAATGACTTTAAGAAGATGGAGGATGAAATGGACTGCCTGTCTGCAAACATGGCAGCTATCACGGAGTTTAGTGCTCGCATTAGCGGGACGCTGCAGGATCAGCATGCACAGATCACTAAATTATCAGGTATAAATAATAAATTATCCATTTCTGATTCATTTTACAGCTTTCAATTGGTAGTATAACAATCGTTATTACTGAACATTATTTCATTTCTGTCTCAACTTCAAGTCTCAAAAATCAACTCCTGAATCTTTCACCTTTTGTGTAGGTGTTCATACTCTTCTCCGTAAACTGCAGTTCCTGTTCGAGCTGCCAGCAAGGCTCAATAAGTGTCTGGAGCTGCAGGCCTATGCCCAGGCAGTGAGCTCCCATCGGAGGGCACGCTGTGTATTGCAGCAGTACAGTCATATGCCCTCTTTTAGGGGCATCCAAGATGACTGCCATGTCATTATGGAGCAGCTCGCTCAACAACTGCGGCAGAAATTCAGGTCTGTGCTGTGAAGCATGTCGTGGTATATTTGGCATATGCAGTAGAATTTCATCCTAATTAAAAATAGATTTTATAGAGTAATTAAGGAACCTTTTAACACAGAGTTTCAACTTGAACGGAAAGCTTTTATGTGTGCCATTATTTACATGACAACTCTAAAAAAAAAAACGAGTTTTAAAATTCTGGTTTTTGAAAGTTGGGCTTGACTTGACTCAACACACTCTTTCCTTTTCATATGCGCCAACACTTTATTTAAAGGTGCTGTATGTAACGCATTCAAAGAACTATACTGTTACAAAGATAATAAGATATAGAATAGATATACATTTCTTTGAGTACATTATATTGCATAACTGCAGATTAAATATGTATATGCTTGGCACAGCTATACTTTCATCCTTACGCACACCTTAACATTTTATGGTTTTGATTGTAATCTTACAACGTGCACCTTTTGTAAAGCTGCTTTGGAACAATAATTATTGTGCAAAGCACTAATAAAATGGAATGCGTATTACATGTACACTCATTTGGCAACCAAAATAACAGGACCATATGTGCACAGGTGTGCCGTGTTTCTTTACAAATTGATATTGCCATCTTCTGGCCTAGCATGAATACAGTTATTTTGTCTTTCTCAGATCTGTGTGAATGAAAACCTTCACTAAATTATTGAAACAAGCCTCTTCTGCCAGATATTATATAAAGAACAAGATGAAATAGATGAAGCAGTGTTGTTATTACTAAAACAAATTTATTAGAAGTTTATTATAAATTAGAAGTCATTGTTGTTAAATGATATAATGCTTAAATAAAGTTTAAATGGGAAAGGGTGGGACATAGTGTAGCTCCTCCCCTTTTTTTTAAAACAGCCAATAGTGTTTTGTTTGATCACCGCTCTGCCATTGAGAGTGGTTGAGCTCAAGTGCATCAATTGAAAAGCAAATCAGAAATCACTTGAGGGGGCGGGGCTTGTCAAATACTAGAGAGCATTTGATTGGTTGTGATTTGATGAGAAACCGTATTATGGGTTGACGTGATTAAAACTGTTGATCCATTTAGGCAGAAGTGACAAACTACAAGCTTTACATGTTAATATCAGTTTTATATTGTCTAAACACAAATATCGTTACTGTTTTGGAGCACACCAACTAATAGATATCTTAAAAACCAACAATATTAATACTAAACTTTATTTTAATTTTATGGGACCTTTAACTAAAATTGGAAACGTTGAAATAACTGGAATGAAATACGTTTCACATATAAAGTATTAAAATGAAATAAAAAATAAATTTCAAAATCTAAAAATATTTTTAAAATGGATATGATAATCACTGATACTGAAAATTATGTCTACTATTAAATGTTCTGTAGATTTATAATATAATAATATCACTAGAAGTTCAAAATTTAATTTAATTTAAAGTTGGTATTTGCTTGCAGGGATGGAGGTTCGAGTGCTAAAGACCTCTCTGAATGTGTCGAGCTTCTTCTACAGCTGGATGAGCCAGCGGAAGAACTCTGTGACAAATTCTTAAGCCACGCCCAGTCTCGATTAGAGGCGGATCTCCAGGGGTTGGAGGCGGAGCTTAAAGACTCAGCAGTTACTGACACTGGTGCTGGCTC